TTTCCTGAGACGAGTCTTGTTCTGTTGCCCAGGCTGGAGTGCAGTGGTGTGATCTCGGCTCACTGCAACCTCCGTCTTCTGGATTCAAGCAGTTCTCCTGCTTCAGCCTCCTGAGTAGCTGGGACTACAGGCGCATGTCACCATGCCTGGCTAATTTTTTGTATTTTTAGTAGAGACATGACTTCACCTTGTTAGCCAGGATGTACTTGATCTCCTGACCTCATGATCTGCCCACCTCAGCCTCCCAAAGTGCTGGGATTGATTACAGGCATGAGCCATCCCGCCTGACCAGCAAGTTACATTTTTTTTTAAAGTTCAACTTAAATTCCACAAATCTTTGAATATTAGTGAGGAAAAGATTTTTTTGAAATACTGGGTTATCGGGAGGCAGAGGTTGCAGTGAGCCGAGATCGCTCCAGTGCACTCCAGCCTGGGCTAGAAGAGCAAAATTCTGTCTCCAAAATAAATAAATAAATAAATAAAACAAAATACTGTGCTATATTAAAATTTAATGCTTTAATACATTAAAATATAATTATAAGGCCGAACATGGTGGCTCATGCCTGTAATCCCAGCACTCTGGGAGGCCAAGGTGGGCAGATCACGAGGTCAGGAGTTTGAGACCAGCCTGACCAACTTGGTGAAATCCCGTCTTTACTAAAAATACAAAAATTAGCTGGGCATGGTGGTACATGTCTGTAATCCTACCTACTCAGGAGGCTGGGGCAGGAGAATTGCTTGAACCTGAGAGGCAAATGTGCAGTGAGCCAAGATCGTGCCACTGGACTCCAGCCTGGGTGACAGAGCAAGACTCCATCTCAAAATAAAAAAAAATATGTGTGTGTGTGTGTGTGTGTGTACGTACATATATATGCATATTTATGACAAATGCTAATATAATCTCTAAGGTTAAATACAGTTGCCAGTTTTTTGTTGTAAAGAGATTTGATCTGTAAGACAAATGCCCTGGAAATCAGCAGGGTTACAGGAAACCCATCATGGGCTGGATCTGTATCTTGAATGCCCTGGGTAGGTTCTCACAGTGCTTCGAAGGCAGGTTTTGGAGTGGTTTTCATGTATGTTTTCCCCATCTCCCATTCCAAGGTAACATAAATGGGAAAAAAAGAAACCACACAAAGAGGACACAGGACCCTACAGAAGATCTTGAAGCTGAAGACACACCCAGGAAAAGACTCAGGACGGACAAGCACAGTCTTCGGAAGGTAATTATGTTCCAGGTTTGCCTGACCCATCAGAGTGTGTGTCGCGTGACTCTTGGTGCCACCATTTTCCTGCACCTGCATGGGAGCACACATGAGATGCAGATGATGGTGCACTCAGTTCCTCCCAGGCTCTTATTCAGCAGAAGGCTGGCTTTTCTCACACAACCTCATTGAGAAAGGCTGCCTAACAAAGCAAGTTCTTACCCGCTAGGGATATTATCACAGAAACCAATGATATGTTCTTTTCCAAGAAAACAGACATCCAAATGCTTTGAGTAATACTTGTTTTTTAGATTATACAAAACCGTCATTAAAAATGACTTCTTGGGCCAGGTGTGGTGGCTCATGTCTGTAATCCCAGCACTTTGGGAGGCTGAGGCAGGTGGATCGCTTGAGGTCAGGAGTTTGAGACCAGCTTGGCCAACATGGTGACACCCCTTCTCTAAAAATACAAAAAATTATCCTGGCGTGGTGGTGTGCACCTGTAATCCCAGCTACTAGGGAGGCTGAGGCAAGAGAATCATTTGAATCTGGGAGGTTGCCATGAGCTGAGATTGTGCCACTGTACTCCAGCCTGGGAAACAGAGCAAGAAAAAATAAATAAAACTAAAAACCAAAAAAAAAAAAAAACCCATAACCTATCTATAGGGTTTATTATTCAGGGTGTAAGTAATGAACTGGCATGAAAGTCCGTTAGAGATAATGTGTTAACATGTCAATAAATAAAAAGTCAAAAATTCATTAAAGGCATTGAACCTAGATTTTATAGACTCATTTAGTTCATTAGTAATTCATTCATTAGTATTCCCATTCAGTATTGTTTACTGAATGGGAATACTAAACAAGCTGTGCAGGAAAAGGGCAGCATAGATACAAAGCCAGCCCCAGGTCCTTGCTTACTGCCAGATGTGTTTGCCTGGTACCTGCAGGGGAGTGAAACCAACCAAGGTCCATATATCTAAAGAGGCCCTGGGTTATTTTGTTTAGCATCTGGTGCCCATGCCTGTAGAAGACGTGAGCCCTTTTCCTACTGGAGTAGTACCATTTATTTCACCTGTCTCAGATGTCCAGTTAACTTTCTCATGAACTGAGACTTGACTTTGTACTTTGTTTGAATTTCTATTTAATTTGATGATAGTTTTGGCCGGGCGCAGTGGCCCACGCTTGTAATCCCAGCACTTTGGGAGGCTGAGGTGGGCAGATCACCTGAGGTCAGGAGTTCGAGACCAGCCTGGCCAACATGATGAAACCTCGTCTCTACTAATAATACAAAAATTAGGTGGGCATGGTGGCACGTGCCTGTAATTCCCGCTACTTGGGAGGCTGAGGCAGGAGAGTCACTTGAACCTGGGCGGAGGTTGCAGTGAGCTGAGATCGCACCATTGCACTCCAGCCTGGGTGACAGAGGGAGACTCCGTCTCAACAACGACAAAAAAAAAAAAAAATTAGTTTTGGCAGAGTAGTTGTATATTTGTAATTTTGAATAAAGCTTCATCCTTTCACTGATCTAAATTAAAATGCTTTTTAAATTTTATTTCAAAGAATGGAAAATAAATCTCACATATTGCTAAGTTGTAAATATGTGGACACTGTATCATCTATCATATTTCTTTACATTTGTATTTGTAATTGAGAGGAGCAGGCAGGCCCTGGCCCAGTTTTCTGGCCAACAGAGCATTCTTCTGGGGCACCTGCCATCAGGTGAGGTTGTTGAGTGATCAGGTATTCAGCAGTAAGCTAGGTCAGATTCACCTGTAGTTATTAAGGTTTGTAGTTACCAGGAAGCATGCACTTAATATTTGCTCTGGTCACCATTTTATTTTTATTATTTTTATTTTTTTTTGAGAGGGAGTCTTGCTTTGTCACCCAGGCTGGAGTGCAATCCCCGCTCACTGTAACCTCCACATCCTGGATTCAAGCGATTCTCCTGCCTCAGCCTCCCAAGTAGCTGGGATTTTAGGTGCATGCCACCATGTCTGGTTAATTTTTTTGCATTTTTAGTACAGACGGGGTTTCACCATGTTGGTCAGGCTGGTCTCAAACTCCTGACTGCAAGTGATCCACCTGCCTTGGCCTCCCAAAGTGCTGGGATTAGAGGCGTGAGCCACTGCACCTGGCCAGGTTACCTTCTATTAAAGCAGCCCTTTGCTGGCAATCATACTGAAACTGGTTGCTTTGAAATATTTGTGTAAACGATATACCTAAAAAAATGTGTGACCCTGGACACTCAAAATATCAAATTTACATTAAGTGGCTGGTAATGTTTTATTAGCTCTTATCTCAGGAGATGATAGCACATGATAAAAAGAAGTAGTGGTGTCTCCTTGGATCTGGTTTTTGTAAACCTGAGCCATATCACATATGACTCCCAGTGTGCATTGAGCACTTCTGACATGCTGGGCATTCACCTTTCACCTTGTCCATGATCCTCTGCGTCCCACCCCACTGCATCCTGTCTCACCAGCCCTGGTTCCAGGCAGATGAGTGAGACTGGGTATGAGTGCAGGGAGTCTGCCTCCTGGGGTGGCAAGTCTCCCCTGGGCAGCGCTGCTCTAGTGCTGTGGGGACAGGGCATTTTCAGCCACGCCCTTCGGACTCTCAGCCCTTAATAAAAGCTTCATGATCCCTTATCTTTATCTCTCTCTCTCTCTCTCTCTTTTTTTTTTTTTTTTTTTTTTGCTTTTCTCACTTGTGACATATTTTACTGATGATCGTTGTATATTAGGTGTATCTGGAGTTTGTCTAAAAAGTGGAAATCCTCAGTGTAGTGTACTAGTAATATTGGCCCTGACTTAGTAGGGCTGAGTCTAACTTGATTGGGTGCCTCTTGAATAGAAGGATCGATTTTTTTCCCATGTTCATGCTCTGCTTTGGGTTCAGTGGAGAGTCTAGGTGCATGTTGAATACAACTCGTATCAGGTGTCTTAACCACATGACTGCAGCAGGTCTTGGCGTGGCCCCGCCCACCTCGCCCTCCTGACAGATGCGAGAGCGGGAGGTGCGAAGAAAGGATCAGTCCAGATTGTGAAAAAATGTCTGAAATTGGGCAACCACGGATGACTTGTGTGTGCGGAACACATTTCCAAAGGAAGGAGTTTCTGCCACGAAACTTTTCAGCAACCTGTGTTCATTCACATGAGGAGATTTTTTTTTCCTTTCTTTTCCTTTTGTTGTTCTTTTTCTTTTTTTCTTTTCTTTTTTTTCTTTTTTCTTTTTTTTTTTTTTTTTAAATAGAGAGACACAATCACTGACAAAACGGCCAGAACAAGCTCTTACAAGGCCATGGAGGCAGCCTCCTCGCTCAAGAGCCAGGCAGGTAATGTGGTCAGCGCCCCTTCCTTCTTGGCTTCTGGGTGCTCAGGCTGGGCTGGGTGGGTGGGCTGAGAGTGTGAAAGGGGAAGGCTGGGACTGGTGATGGGGAACAGGGCAGGGGAGGGATCCACAATTAGCTAGGACCAAATAAAAAGGAAAGGAGCTTCTTCGCAGTTGAAAAATAAACTGTTTTAATGTGTATGTTGTTTTGAAGTATTTGGCTAAATTTTATTGAAGTTACTTTTTACTTGGCTCTATTATTTTCAATTTAAAATTTTACTAGAAAAGTGGTTTCAACCAGAAGTTTTCAGGGTTCTTTCTTGATGGTGCCAGTTGCTACTGTAGATTCTGTCACCCTTTAGTACCCTGACCCTCTGTGTATGTAAGCTCACTGTTAGGACGCGTTATTTATATTTCACATGCTAAAGAAACTAATAACTTTAAAAACAATAAGAGGGGAAGTCACACTTCCTTTTACCTTTTAGTTATCTTTTTGAAATATCTGTTTGCTCCCTTATTGAAGAAGTCATACCTTCTCCAACTGTTAATTAGAAAGGAAAACAAAACCCTGGGGGAGGAGAGTGAGTGGAGATTGGAAATGGCTCTGTTTTTCTTGTTTTGCATGAGGTGCTCGACTGGTTTTTAAACATCAGTTAAACAGACTCTTTTAGAAAAAAAAAACTTGTGAGCAATTGGACATTTGAACGCTGACTGATGATATAAGAGCATTGTTACTTTTAAGTATGAGAGTGGTATTGTGGTTACATGTAAGACTTTATGTTTAGAGATTTGTGCTAAACTTTTTATGGATGAAATGATATGTCTTGGATTTGCTTCAGAATAATCTGGCAGAGGGACATGGAACCAGGTGTGGATGGAGCCATGCTGGCCCCAGGTTGATGTTTTTTTGGGGCCAGGTAGCAAGGACATGGGGTTCATTGTACAGTTTGTCTGCTTTTGTTTGTGTTCAGATTTTCCCATGATAAGTTAAGCCAGAAGGACAAAGGAACTCAGAAGATTCATCTTTAGAACTTCAATTATTTGAGGGGTAATTTTAAAGCAGTAAAAAGATTGAGGATTTATGATTTGAAACTTTACAAACCAAAATTATTTTACAGCAACGAAAAATCTGTCTGATGCATGCAAACCACTGAAGAAGCGAAATCGGGCTTCCACGGCAGCATCTTCAGCTCTTGGGTTTAGCAAAAGTTCATCTCCTTCTGCATCCTTAACTGAGAATGAGGTAAAATAATAATAATAATGATAACCATGGCATTGGTATGAAGGCCATTTAGCTGCCCACGCTGCAGTGTGAGTAATGCTCAGACTTCATAAGCACAGCATTGGTGCCCACCGCCAGGGCAGGTGCTTTAGGGCCTCTTGGCTATCTCAGATTCATGAAATGGACAAACAGTGCACTATGTTAGTTTATTTGAGCACTTTTTATACACACACACACAGTGTGTACCTATACAGATATACTTCAGTCTTAATGCAGTTTCATAGTTCTTAAAATCTGTCTTAAGAATGTTTTGTTCTGTGTAGCCCTCACACTGTAAGAGTTCACATGGAAGTAAGTCTGCGTTGGTTCTGACAGGACACAGTGTCAGTTGAGCTGACATACTGGGTGGGGTGGAGGGCGACTCACACACCACACCTGATTCCTGTTGCTTCCAGACCTAGGCTCATGGAGGAAGCCAAAGATTTCTTTGTTCTCATCCATTTCATGACTTTGGTCCTTTAAATTCTGGCACATTTTCAGTTACTTGAGTGTTGAGGTGAGTCAGAACTACCATTGTAATATGACTCCTGTGTTCTGGACTTGCAGAATATATGATGGCTGCCTGCCATCATTATAACACGACACCTAGACTTCATTATCAAACCTAACTTTTTTGCTGTTGCCAAAAACAAAACAAATAGCCACAGGATGTAGGTGTGACACTTTTTTGTTCAGAGGTAGTTTTGGTTTCCTGATTTTTAGGGATTACCTTCTTAGATCTTTGGAGTTTTAATTTCTTGTCATTTGGTTCTCTGTGATGCTGTTTTTCTCATTGTAGACATGAGTCCTGTTTTTGTCATATTTAAGAGGAGATGATAACTGGGGGCCTTTTTGGAACAACAGGGTAGTGAGGCAAGGGATGGACAGGCAGCACTTCTGACCAGGTCTCTGCCATGGTCCCCAGGAGGGATATGCCTCAGTTGTTTCCACTCATTGGAGAAGGGTGGGCTTTCATGCAGGAAGGTCAGGGATCTGGGCAACCTGTGAGGGCTCAGAGAGCTCTGCGACTTGCCACCCTGAATCTTCAGTGATGGTGCAGATAGCGACTATTTCTCCAAGTGGGATTTTCTGCAGTAACTCAAACCAACTCGATAGTGGTCAAGACCTGCTCATGGATGGTGGGACTGGGGCTGGTTTACAGCTTGATACGTGTAGGTAACCAGGCATTTGTTATGTTTGGACACACTTGAGAAATTGCAGTAAGAATTATTTACTGAAACATTTAGGAGCTTACTGAAATATGAAAAGGCAAATTTTATACAAATTATTTTTCCTTTTTCCTTTCTTTCTTGTCCAAGTTCAGGTTAAAATCCTAGAAAATTAAATGAAAGGTTGTTTAAAGTTCCAAAGAAGAATATTAAACATTTTTCACTTAAGCTGAGATTTTTGCTTTAAAGAGTTTTTAATGAGTTGTTCTGTTATCATAATTTTGGTCCAGTTTATGCTTGAGTTGTCACGTAGTACTGCTGTCAGGTACAATAGAGAGAACATGGTGAGAACATGCTGAAGTCTTGTCTGTTATTCCTGATCCTACGTCACATTTATCGGAGGCTTTGATTTAGTCATGCATGAGGCCAGTGTAGCAGGGGTTGAGACCTGCCCGAGTCAGTGGAGCTCAGTCTCCCTGGCCTAGGCAGTTGTTCTGACCTTGAGAAAACTTAGATGAGGCATTTTATAATCATTAGATTTAATTTTTAATTGTTTAGAATGTCAGAAGTTGATAGATTGTTAAATACATTTATATAATACATATATGAAATTAATATACCTTCCTACATTTTGAAGGTGATGCATAGATCCCATAGTGTGCATCATGTTCCTTATATGAACACATTTAAATTACTAGGCCTTTTCCATTAAGCTACTTTTGTATGGTTTAGATAAATCTTCCATTAGTGTTCATTTTTATAGAATTATGCTGTTAAAGCAACTTTAGGTGAACAAATAAACTTGTCTATTATGTATTAACACGACTGAACTACAGTAAATGTTTGTAATGTTACCAATGCTGAATGCCTGCTAGCATATGAGGCAAAGTGTAGTGTTATAAAAAATACCCTGTCTACTGTTAGGCCTGATTCTGATACGAGTTAGGTGACCGTGAAGATTGCTGTTTGAGAGTCACACTGACACACCCCCGTTTGGGTCACACCTCCTTTGCATGTTTGTATTTACTCCCTTTCATCACATTTGATTGAAATAAGGTACTTTCAGAGGGTTGGTATTTCAAAACGTGTTAGGTCATGTTGTGGTTTAAAGTCTTCTGAAAAAGGTATATGTGACAAATAAAATTTTTATTGGAATAATTATTACATGGTACTACATCACCCCGAGGAAGAGAATAGATTAAAATTACACACTTGCATGACAAAGGCCTGTGAAGGAATTAATGTGATTTAAGTGTTTTGTAACTTCATTTTTTATTCCTTTAGTAGAGCAAATTCTTATTTTTTTCGCCTTCACTGGTAACAGCTTTTGTGGGAGCCCACACCAGTCAAGTTGGATTTGAACCCAGCTGCCCTGTACTGCACTTAGAATGATGTAATATTCCAGGATGCTGCTGCAGGTGGTGTATCATCGTACACACTCAGTGACATTTCTATCACAATCATTTTATGGAAGATGTGTGATAATCTGTTTTTACTGGTATTAATAAACACATACAATGAAGAAAACAGATAACAAATTTTAAGACCAAGGTAAGATACCTAATCAAGGCCATTTAATCAATCACATTCATCTCATAATAGAAACACGTTCATATTCCAGTGGTCAATGTAGATTTCAAGTTTAAAGGCAGGACCTTCAGTCAGGGACTGTCCAGAACTGCAGCGTCTTGCACGGAAGGGGTGGCCCTGTTAGAGTTGCTTCTCCTCTAGTTTGTAACTCACTGGATTTTTGTGGAAAGTGTCAGTGTCGGTACCTTCAGAAACAAACAGCACACATTAGGAGGAGTCCTCATCAGCTGTTCTCATTGCCAATGAGATATATTCAGTATTGTAGATATTACATTAATTTCCAACATAACAGGCAGAAGAGTTTTGATTCTATCTTTTTTTACTAAACAGTTTTATTATGACATTAGATACAGTAAATTTTTAGGAAAAAATGCCATTTACAGTATCATTGTGAACCATTTAACTCTTTTGATCCAAGGCCCTGGACCAAGGAGATACTGTAATCAGGTTATTTACACCAACTGCTGCATCATTTGCTTCTGTAGAGCATCAGCCCTCATGTTTCAATGTCTTAATCTTGGGGAGCAGCCTCGTGTCCTGCCCCAGGTGTCTGCATTTTTGCATGACGAGGAAGAGGCTTACTTGCCCTTCAGCTCGTAGAAGCAGAAGGTGTGTGTTCACAGTGCCATGTGAGTGGCCCACAGTTCATTCCCAGCAGATTCTTTGGCTGTGTCTTATCTTTAATGAACGTTTCTGACTAATACTTTTGTTGTAAACCATTAAGTAATGTAACGCATGTAAGACACTTAGGGTGCCTGGCCAGGACTCCGTGGTTTGGTATTGTGACAGTAATGGTTATAATAATAAAAGTGATAAAATCACCATCACTCTATTTTTATCCAGAAGTATACATTTTGCTTTGGCATGAAAAGTGGTCCTCTTGACTGCATTATACATGTGAGGATGAAATAAACCTAGAAGTGGCAGAACACTGGATCTGTGTGTGGCGCTTTAGGGTCCTGGACTGTGTGGCTGAGGGCTGGTTGGGTTGCTCTATTGGCTCTGCTCAAATGTTGCAGGATATGTATCCCCAAAGATGGCCTGGGAGCAATCTAAGCTATGTGCCTCCAAAGGAGATGGAAAAAGCTCAAGAGTAAAATTAAAATTCTCAAAAAAAAAAAAAAATCACTAAATTTAAAGATGTGGAAAAAAAAAATGGCGCTGGTTCAAGAAGCAGTCACCCAAAGTAAAGACTCTACCCTGAAAGGCTTTTGGCGAAAATTAAGGGACTTCGTTTGAAATTACAGCATGATGAATTTTCAGTGGGTAGCCAGCCAGCTAGCCCATAAGCAATAGACGCATTAGAAGTCAGCCAAAGCATAGGAGCTCCCTCTCTATAATGGAGAAGGTGAAACCCTCCCAGTGACCCAGTGGTGTCCAGAGAGGAGCATGACATTGGCATCAGCTAAATACCCAGGGACATATGGGGGAATGTGGATGGGAATGACAGTGTTTTTCAGCTAGGGGTGACATTGTTCCCTGGGGACACTGGGAAGGTGGGCAGGGGCAAGTGAACTCAGCACTCTGCAGTGAGAGAGGCAGTCCCACATATGGCAGCATTGTCTCACTTCAGATGCCAGGAGTGGGCTCATCATAGAGGAGCAGAGTTTTCCGAAAGGGCCATCTCCTGGCTTCCTGAAGGAGGTGGGGGAAAGGGCTGTTGCTTAAAAGAACTTAGGGAGGACCAGTGGCTGGCCAAGAGTACAGAAATTCATTATGCTACTAATTCAACATGAATTCCCTCATTTCATAAAAACCTCAAAATAACAATGGTATATTCTAGCCTTAAGACATTTGAATTGCTGGTTGTTGAGATGAATTTTGGTTGACATACATGGAACCATTTTAGTCTCATTTGACTCACTTCAGACCATCTTCCACACACCATGTCAGTACCTGGCAAGGGGAGGTGGCTCTCTAGCATAAAACTTGAGGCATTCACAAGAGGTGAAAACTTGTCAGAATATATAGAAGCTTAGATTGTAGCTATTCTAAAAGTGAAAGTACACCATTGTAATAGGTAGCATCTTGAGGGAGTGTACGTCTTCGCAATGGAAATCCTGCAGTGTTTTTCTAAGACTGATATGAGAGCTATTGGCCCATCAAGCCTTTTAGTTTCTGCTTCTGACATTGCCCCACCTGCTCTCAATTCATCTTTGGGCCTTTCTTCAGTGTTCATGCAACAGTTGTGTTTTTTCAATCATTCTGACTCTAGGTGTAGTT